GCGCAAATCTGCCGCAAGCGGAAGTACGTCAAGTCAGAATGATAACGCTCTCAACTGATTGTCAGATTTGTGCACTTCTTATGCAAAAGTTTTGCGCACTTGCTTGCACGCAAATCTTGCGCAAATCTGCCGCAAAGCGTCTTACGCACTTGCCATGCATCAGAAATACAGAAGATCTCGTAAGCAGACCAGGTACAGACTTACGCACTGACAGTGCGTAAGATTGTGCTACCAGGAGAGTGATAATAAGGTAACGCTGACATGTTGAGTGTGAAAGCCTTTTAAGGTTTATAAACATTATAAACATGAAAATTTATACATTAAACTTTGCTATCATGGACTAACCTGGGACTCAGGAAAAATGGAGTATACGGAGATAGGAAATATTATACGAGAGAATCTTGAAAATTTTACAAATTTAAATGTGATTGGAGATTTTTTTAAAATGTGGCTTAAAAGATTTAGCTTTAAGGTCACTGATATGACAGACTATCCACCGTTAAAAATACCAAGATTAATTACAACTTGCACACATCACAACGGAGCCTACAAATCCATGTGTGCTCTTCATATGAAGCAAAAGAAAAAATTTTACTTCAACATGGAATGGGTTGCTGTTGATGACGATGACGATAATAATATAGAGCTGTAAGAATGCATTATATTGTATTGTACTTTAACAACACGATGTTTAACAAAATCGTTTTGTAAATCATGTACATTTTTTATTTAATACAAACTGATTTTAAAAATACAACAAAAAATGTTTAACAATTATTTACCTACCACTCCACATCCTACATTATCATGCAACGCGCTCGCTAACACAAAAATTTTTTTGAATGCATATAACTACCGCGTGCACAAGCTGTAAACGATTTTGCACAATTAAACAGGGCGTGCAAACCAGCACTGCAGACGACTTATGCACATTGCATCGCACGCAAACTCAAACTGCGTTGCAGGTCACCAGCAGGCGGGCTGTTGAAGCCCAAGCGGACGAACGAATGAAGCGAACGCACAAGGAGTGCAAGGAAGCCACAGCTCCTGCTCGCCTATTGGCTGCAGGAGGGACTATTCCACCCAAAAAGAGGAGTCCACTCGACGTGGAAAGAGAGTGGGCCAAAATCATAGCTTATGTACTGGAAGATGTACGGACAGCGTCGCGTCTCGTTTTTAGAAATTCATTTTTATGCAAAATATATTTGGAGGACGCTTATTTCTCAATTCCTATCCACAGGTCTAGTAGAAAGTCTTTAAGATTCTTCTGGAATAATCAGTTATTTGAGTTTACTTGAATGTCTTTTTGCCTCAATTCAGGGCCGTTTATATTCACAAAGGTAATGAAACCAGTTATTGGTCACTTACGAGCAAAAGGTTTTTTGTCCGTTATTTATTTGGATGATATTTTGATTGTAGCGGATAGTGTGAAAAACTGCCAAATAAATGCTATTGCAACGACAAGACTACTGCAATCTTTAGGTTTTGCTTTCAATTGGAAATAGAGTTCGTTTTTGCTTTCGATGAGATGTACGTTTTTAGGGTTTGTTATTGACTCAGATATGCATGGATTAGAACCCCCCACAGAGAAGAAGATTAAGCTATTGGATTTTGTGCTACAGGTGTTGTCGTTAGAATCGTGTAAAATTAAAGAATTTGCGATGTTGATTGGCAGCTTGGTGGCAGTATCACCAGCAGTTAAGTATAGTTTTGCCCATTATAAGTGTTTCGAGAGAGTAAAATTTTTAGCATTGTATAAGAATGACAAAGATTTTTCAAAGAGAATGCCAATCACCAAGTCGATAAAAGTAGACCTTCGATGGTGTAGAGATCGTCTTCCTGATGCAGTTAATAGATTAAAGTCATTTCATTTTGAGATGGTTATTTTCTCAGATGCATCAGACTCAGGCTGGGGAGCGACGAATGGTCTTTCGAAAATCCAGGATAGGTGGAGCGCAGATGAGATCTTTTTCCATATTGATTACAAAAAACTGTTGGCAGTCAAGCTGGCTTTGGAGCGCTTGAAGTCTAGTTTGAAAAAAATTCTGCCAAATTCTGCTTAGAATCAATAACACGACAGCTATAGATTATGTAAATAAGGTGGGAGGTGTAAAAATTCAGAAATACAATGATCTAACTAAGGTAATTTGGTCTTGGGCCGAGCAGAGGGGAATCTTCTTTTTTGCATCTCATATTGCATCGTCAGAGAACTTGGAGGCTGATAAATTCTTAAGGATGACGAATATAGACACAGAGTAGAAGCTGGAGGAGTCGGTAGATGAGTACATCATTAGTTCGCTAGGCTCTCCGGAAGTAGACCTCTTTGCAAGCGCCTTAAACAAAAAGTGTGAGGTTGTCTTCTCTCGTTGGCCCGAACCAGGTGCGGCATTAATTAATGCCTTCACATTCAGCTAGACTGCTCTTAATTTCTACGCTTTTCTCCCAATTTCTATGGCCCTCAAAATGTTGTCAAAAATGAAGCTTAAAAAAGCTGAAGGTATCATCGTTGTACCTTACTGGCCTAATCAGCCTTGGTTTTCTCTCTTTAAGGAACTACTCAAAGGTGATAAGTTGATTTTGGATCCAGCCCCTCATCTTTTATTGTCTCCTTTCAGGAGCAAGCCTCATTCACAAGCGGAAAACCTGCGTTTGATTGTCGGCAGGCTGTCAGACAAGCTTTGCTGAAGAATAGTGCCCCGGAGAAATCGGTGGAGTTACTGTTAGCATCGTTAGCGGAGTCTACTATAAAGCAGTACAGCTCAGCCATGAGGGCGTGGTCACAGTTTTGTTTAGAGAATAAGTTTGTTATTATTAGCGCGAGTAACTCTAGTTTATTAAGTTTTTTATCTGATAAGTTTCATAAAGGATCCTCATACGGCACATTAAACTCAACGAGATCAGCCATTTCATTGATTTCTACAGTAGCTTTGGGACAGGACCCTTTAGTGAACAGGTTTTTTAGAGGCACATATGCATTGTGCCCAGCTAAGCCTAAGTACTCCCACACGTGGGACGTTTCAATCGTGCTAGATTTCCTGAGGCCTCTCTTCCCTTTTGTCACTTTCAATTTAGATTCAATTACTTATAAATTCGTTATTCTATTAGCCTTATGTACGGCTCACAGGGCACAAACATTGTCAAAAATAAAAATTTTAATGATCTCAGAGCCACCAGAGGACTATGAGGTACAAATCGATGAAAGAGTAGTCATCAGGCCCTGGTCGTTTTGGACCCTGTCTAGTCTTGCCAAGATTTTTTGAAGAGCCTAGTCTATGCGTAACCTCATTGCTAGAGTATTATTTAAAAGTGACTAAAGATTTATGGGGCGTGACAAATTTCTTCCTGATTTTAACCAGACAGCCCTATGGGCCGGTATTTTAATTCGCAAAACCATAAGTAGATGGATAAAGAATATTTTAGCCAAAACCGGTGTTGATACGTCCAGATTCTCAGGCCATTCTACTAGACATGCTGCGTCATCAGCGGCATTGAAAGAGGGTATCAGTCTGGATGTGATAGGAAGAACGGCAGGTTGGTCAAAATCGTCCAAAGTTTTCGCGAAATTTTATAACAGACCGATTTTACCAAAAAATAGTAATTTTGCGTTAAGAGTGACACATAACTATAATAAGAGTTGAAATTGTATTTCTTTCTAATATTACTGTATTTGATGTAAACTAAATTATTTTCTTTGAACAATAAAGAATTGCTTTACCGTTAAAACTGCTTACTCTAAACATCTACATTGTGATCTCGAGAACGAGGTGAAGAAAGTATAAATATAGATCAAACGAACTTACATGTAAGTGAAGTTCGATAGTAATTATACGATAAATTTCGTTGAAAAAGATCACAGTGCTTTTCAAAAAAAAAAAAAATTTGTTTTTATCCAATCCTTGATAGACAATTTTAACGTGTACTCTAAAGTAATGAGATTCACGACACACACAGTGAGAAAGGAGAAGAGAGCCTCCTGTCTCCCCTTCTTTTTTCTACTGTTCAAGTGTGGGGATGCACAGCTCTCTCACGGCGAGAGTTGGCAACTCTCCTCTCTGCCCGACCGATCATGGTTCGGTGCCTGTGCCATGGCTTGCGCGCACGCCTCAGTTCGAACTGGCTGCTCAAACTGAGCACACATTACTGTATGTCTGACTTGGTACTAAAATAAACTTCTATTTGCAGATCAAGTTGTATCTCTCGCTCACCTCCATCCACGTACCTGACAGCTGTGGGCTGCCGTCCTTGGACATACCTTCTTCTGGGTATCTCAACCCCACATAAGCTCTAAAGTTATGACATCTGGTGGGCAATGGGGGAACTACATTTTGATCTCTTTGAACGAGGTTCATCGTACAATTACGATCGAACTTCACTAACAGGTAAGTTCATTTGATCTATAATGTTTTCATACTTTTATGATTTTCTCTAAATTGAAGTCATTCACCCTGTGTCTTTAAGAACTTAATGAATTCTTTACAAAAAACTATATTAATATTTCTTTTAATTACTGAGGTTTCTTATATAGTTACTTCCGAAGTTATAGTAATTTTTTGGGATGATTCTCTCAAGATTGCATGATGTACCTTCAAGATTACGTGATAAAGTGACAAGACTTTAGTAGCAGTTGCCTTTAAAATAAGGTAGTTAACTATAGTCTTTATTACTAATGAAATCAGCTTAGTTTACTTACATGATATTTGAGTTCCATAGATTTTTATTACTTCAATAAAAAACGCCAAGTCACTCTCAGCACTACTTGTAATCTATCGAATACGATGGCCTTTTTGAATAAGAAAAACAGGAAATACTCCAGTTTTGACATTTTCGACGCATTCTAAATATCTCAACATTGAAAATTTAAACGAATCAATGACGCCAACAACGTAATCAAAATAATTTTTATTTTAGCAACCACGACGCATGGTCATGAATTTTTTCAGTAAATTAAATTATTACAATTTGAATGATAAAATTTGATGTATTTATTAAATACTCAGAAATTGGAAAATTTACATTGGCTAGTTAAATGAAATTTAGTACAAATTGTATACATTTTTATTGTACATATTAAGTCTACCAAATGCAGAAAAAACTTATAAAAAGAAAAAAAGATTAAAGTTCAAATTTTTAGGTAATTAGATTTCTGTTTTAGCACTTGAAATTAAAAATTTTCGTTACACTAATACCTCTTTACACAAAAATATGTAATAAAAACATATAATTAACAATTTACTCCCTGGCTAACGATCACGAAGCATTTATAAATTTACATATCTTACAAGTAACGTATTAATAAAAACATGATTTCTTCTGAGACAATAAAATTTAATTTTTCAATTGTAATGACTGTTCCAAAACTTGCCTCCGTAATATTTCGATTTCATCTTCACTGCTATCATTCGTAATTTCACTATTGCTATCAGAGTTTTGTCTTCCTTTGTTTGCCTTTTTTTTGTCCACGTCTTTTAGTTTTTGTTTTTTCTTTTTCTCACGTCTTTTTTTTTCTAGAGTAGACTCTATGTGCTCTAAAAAAGAATCTGAAAAGCTATCGCTACTATCTGTAGCTTCTTGAGTCTCGTCATCGACGCAAAATGAATCCTATAAAAAATGTTCTGGTATTAGTACTGAAATAAAATATTTGAAGCTTATAGATAACATGTACATTCCAAGGTATGTAATTGTGAATGTGAAAAGTTGTATGGAAATAGAAAAAACTTATTTAAAACACAGGAGATATAGCATCAGAATAAGATGTAAAACAAAAAATACAATTAAAAAATACTACTAACATGCTACAAAATCTAAAATTCAATTACGTTGATTTAAAACCGAAATAAACATTGAACAATTACAAGTGCCAATTAACATATTTAATTTCAGACGCTTCACACGTTTTTCAATGTCAATAAAAACAAATCTACATTTTTTGTGGAATTTGCATTTATTTACTTGCAATATATTAATACAGTGTAATAGTAAATTGGTAAATAACAGTGTATTTTGTTTCTATGCCAGAAAACGGGGCAACTACTAACCACGTTGGATTGCCAGCCTCACCTTTGGCTTCCAAAGGTTATTCAACGCAGTCACTAATAGCTTTATTTTATAGCCCTCGTAAGTATACTTTTTCCTTACAGTCCCATTGAAAGTTTGACATTAAAATTTAAGAGTTTTGAACACATATTCATATAAATAGTACTATAAGACTACAAAACTGCCAATGCACTGAGTGTTAAACCTATATCTATGCGTCATATTGTCGTCTATTTTAAATACGAATCTATACATGTAAACGATATTTGTATTTATTCATAAAATTATATAAAGAAAATGTTTAAGAGAAATATTAAAAAAAAAAGAATTTTAAACTATAAATGGTCTCACGTTGTTAAAACAAAAGCCGCATAATGCGCACTCCTTCAATGCTGTAGGTTCTGCCAAAAAAATTATTCTTTTATTTACTCGAAAAAAAATCTAATCTAAAAGTGAATGACTCCAAGTTTTCAATCAACAAACGTGTGTGAGAAATTTAAAAAAAGTCAAACTTTTTAAATCCTATATCATTCATGCATGCCTTAAGGCCTACGCAGTGAAAAACACAAGCACATACACAGGCACAGTGCACAAGAATAACATTAGTTGGTATACCTATATACAGGATGCATAGTGCGGTGTGCTTTATATATATATACATATCTGTAAAAACGCAAAGCACACCGCAGTGTGCATCCTGTATACAGGTATACCAACTAATGTTATTCTTGTGCACTGAGTCTGTGCATATGCTTGTGTTATATATGTACACACATACATACATATATACCAACCAATGTTATTCTTGTGTTCTGTGCCTGTGCATATGCTTGTGTTTTTCACTGCGTAGGCCTTCAAGGTGGTACTTTAGGGTGGTACCGTATCAAGTTGGGACAGAGCCCTGCCCTATCACGTATAAGCGAATGATTGAATTACGAAGTATGTATGAGTAGTAAAAACAAATTTTTTTTTGCTCAGGGTACTAAAAATAATACATACGTTCCTACTCAAGCAGACAGCTTAATTATTAATTATTTATATACCTGTACACAATCGTCGAGCATCGCAAAAGCATTATAACCTCTGTTCTTTGTTTTTGTTGTAAGAATAATTTAATAATTGCTACACACTAATGCCTCCTAAGTTTCCTGCACGTTGCCCCAGCGGGAAAATAAAAGTTTTCATCATATAAGTAAGTATTTTCATTACTTCATTTGAAATTTGCGGGCGAATGCCGAGCGTCTGTTCATTCACACGGCAGCGCAAGCACACTCATTTGATCACGACATCAATCTTTTAAGACAAAATATCTCACACTATCTCCCTGATAATCCTCAATTAAAACAATACCATTACAAAGCTTACGAGTTCTTCTAAATTGAGGATTTTTTTACATTCTAATCGTAAGTCAATTTTCTAAGATATTTCCGTGCTTGTACGAACGATCAACTAACCTCCATGAAAGTCAATGGTAATAAGTGAATTTTTCAATGGACTCGTTTTCAAACTAACTCTTGATAACAGAGGTCCACATTTCGAGAGGAGATCAAATATAACTTAATCAACAATCTCTCAAAGTTTCTTTGATTCTTGAGAAAATCGTTTCACTGATAAACCATCTTAAGCGTGAGTGTGCATAATATCAAGCCTCAATGTGCAACAGAAAAAATTTGAGAAGTTATTTAGTGGAGAGGCTTATTGCCGCTTGCAGTATGACTAAGAAAACCCATAAGAATTAGCATTAATCATAATACGTACGCTTATAACGTAACACCATCATTTTTCTTTTGCTTTTTTATGAACACACTTTCTATTGAGCAGTAAAAAAATCAAGTTTTTTGGTTAGCTATGCACGGAATAAAGTATATACGCTCAACCAACGCTCTCAAATTGTTTAGAACGATCAATCAACATACAGAAACAGTGTAAGGTTAAGTTCATAAAGCAGTAGTTCTTAACTATAATTGAGAACCTAAATAGTCAGTGTAAATAAACGACAATTCGACCATTAGGTTCTCAAGTTTAACTAAGAATCACTGTTATAAACTAAACTTTACTGTTCTTGCATGTTGATTAATCGTGTATATTTATTTTACACTCTGACATTCGAAATGCTCAAAAACTGTAACAATCTTTCAACGTGCCAAGTAGGTAAACCATGGCGGTTCTAGCACCCCCCAGCTCCCCCTGAGGTGGTGGTGGGGGGATAGGCTCTAGCTATAGTTGGACTGTGGGTGGAGGAGAGGCGGTGGTGGGGGGAGAGGCTGATCGGGCGGTGGGAGGAGAAGCACGGGCGGTATAGGAGAGGTAGTGGGGGCGGTGGGTGGTGAGGACTACTCGGGCGGTAACGTCAGGGGAAGGGGCCTCTTCCGGATGCTGTGACATCAGATGGTACTGACGGCTCACTTCCTTTCCGACCGCGAATCGAGCTCCAACGTCATCAGGATGGGTCCGAAAGGTGTAGGTGACAAGCCCAATGTACAGCGCAAGAGGAAGATGATCAAGCATGAACGTGTATTTCTTATCAGCGGATATTTTTTTAGTTTCTTCTTCCACTCATTGTTTAGGAGTCTCAGCGTAATCGTTGTTTTTTTTTTGTTCTTCTTAAGAGCGGGCGTATCGAGTTGTTGGAGAGGAAATTTCATTGGGAAAAGCGGACCGCGTATCCCGTTTAGCTGCGACCAACGTTGGCTTACTCGACGCAGTACCTTGCCAAGAAATTCAGCCAGCTCATGGATTCAAGTTTGAGATTTTTAGGATAGTATGTAAATGGGTTTCAATAATAACAAAACTTTTAATTCAATACATATATGTATATTTTTGGTAGCTTCAAAAAATATACACAAGAATTTCATGGTTATCGATTTTTTTTTTTCAATATATCATATCTATCTTTATTTGGATAAGAGCGAATATTTTCGGAATAATAATTTCCTTTCACTTTTGGTTGAGATGCCTCAACGTGCTTTTTTATAAGAGGTTTTCAGCTATTTTTACCTTTTTCCTTCTCCTCTTTACTGAGGCTCTCAGATTTTGGTTTGCTAAAGATCGGACTCATGTTGTTGATGTTGACTGCTCAATCGTCACAGGATAACTGAAGCAATACGCAAATTCTCATCAGCTTATAAGACGGCGCAAATTTTTTTGTATTACCACACGGCAACATGTACTTCAATTTTTGTATCTTAAATTTTGTGCTTACTTTATTATTTTTTTTTGCCTACACACGGTCATCGTTTTTGATACCAACATTAGTATTAGTTTCCAAGTAACTATCAGTATCAGTATCATTAGTATTAATTCTATCAACAGTATCCTAACTGGGAAGCATTTTAGAAATTTTCTTCTTATAACTATGAGGCGCGTTTAAAAAACATTCTGAGTCTGGTTCAATGCTACTTTCCACCAAAAAGCAAAGCCACAATTTTATTTGATGAGCTTTACTAAGTGCGCAATTTTTCTTTCGACGTAGACTTTTTTGTACATCATGAGTACCACACATTAACGTCTTTGTTGAATATCCCATATGAAGAATGTGACGCGATGGCACCATATACTGCTGAATGTTAATCACAGTACACCCTATGGTCGATTCCAAATAAGTGGCTGTATTATCTTCATAAATGTAAATTCGATGTGCATTTTTGTGTACAAATGTTGCTGTAACTTTCTAATGGAGCAATCGTCCTCGAATCAGCGAAGTCCATGCACTCGCTTCGACTGAAAGTCGTTGTTTTGGCGCACATCCATAGGTAAGGTGGAAGAATTGCACGGGGGCCGCACAATCTAATGACTGATTGCTGGTCTCATAAGCGACACTACAGCCACTTCTTTTGGTAACTGTCGAGAAGCGTCGAGAAAACCCTCAATTTCAGAAACATAATTCTTGTAAAAATCCATTTTTATTTCGTAGCTCAAAAGCGTCGTACTAACTGCGATATAAACGCGTATCCGTCACGTTTGATGCTGCGTGATGAACTAAGCAGCACTCTGCACCGAAATTAGTTTATATACACGTTAGTGTAGGCACTGCGCAAGTGTGTGTTTTATCAGAATGAATCATCGGTTCTTAATATTTTAATCTTAAACTAGTTTTGAGGGAAAGGCTACATAAATAATAACAACAATATAATTCAATACATTTATTTATGACATAATTTCAAAAAAAATACAGTTTCATTGAGTTTTTTTATTATACATCTTCTTCAGAATCAGTAACATCATCCCATTCCATATGAAAGTAGAATTTTTTCATTCGTTTGACATTGTGGGTGGCACACATAGATCTATACGCACCATTATGGTGAGGACATGCAGTAGCTAATGTTGGGAGTTCAAACTCTGGATAATCAACCATATCATTAACTTGAAAATTAAACCTTTCGAGCCACCTTTTCTTCACTTCTCCAATCACAAAAATCTTCTTAGCATCTTTGAGATTCTCCCGAAGAACATNGGCTACATAAATAATAACAACAATATAATTCAATACATTTATTTATGACATAATTTAAAAAAAAAAACAGTTTCGTTAAGTTATTTATTATACGTTTTTTCCAGAATCA